AAAGCGGTGTAAATACTTTGAGCTTAAAGTACTATTTTGTAGGCAGTATGTAAAGGAATGTGCTAAGTCAAAATTACAATTAATTGTAAAAACTATTTTAAAGATAAAGAGCAATAAAGGAATATTTAACACAAAATGTGTAATGCATTGATTTCAGTTAATAAAGGTTTTCAAGATAATGTTTATATTATACGGTTTTGTTGAAGAAATCCTTTTAAAACACTGCTTATTCAATATTATTACTTTTTTTGCTGATAATAATGATGATCATGGCACGTCACCTTTAACAATCTTTTGATATTTTTTTATTGGAATTTTTCAAGAAAAATACCTTTAAACATTTATTTTAACCACTGTTTCGGTGGCTTTTTCTGCTACAGAAACAAAAATATAGAAATGAAACAAACTCCAAGTCTGGTAGTTCTTGTTTTTTTTCTGAGCCTTTATGATTTTATTATTAAAAATGATTAATGAAGATGAACATTTTAACTTCTACTTGAATGTCTAAATGACTGTATTGCTTTGGTAAAATCACTGATTTTTTTTGTATTTTTGTTTTCTTCAGAGCTTTGTACCTCAATCTTTTGTTGGTCAGAAAAAGTAGGAATTGCAGTGATAGCAACAGCCGCATTAATAGTAAATAAGTAGTAGCAACAATTGTTTAAGAATAGTTGCGGTAGCAATTACTGCATTTTATGTCTTTTTCTTTATTATATAAGCAATTTTTCATAGTTTGTTGAGGAAAAAGAATAAAAATTTTAGAAAACTTTATCATTTTAATTAAAATCGTTAATTTGATAAATTTTCTTGAATAGTAAAAAAATATTAATGAAATTTTAAAGTGCATTCTTTAGTTACTCAATAAATTTGTAGAGGATAAAGGGCAAATTGTAAAGAGGTGTGTAAAGTATACAAATATTAAATTTATCTTTCATAATTTATTTTTTATACAACTGAACTAATTTCTTTTTGTGTTGTAGTCTAATTTTGTTTATATATTTTGCCATTTCCTGTCCACTTTACAATAAAAAACGAACTCATTAAAAAGTCACGAAAGTCTTGCCGAAACACCAGACATTAAATAAAATATTCTCATTTTATAAACAAATTGTGTTAAAAAATACACAAAAAAAGAAAATTTATATTCATTCATAAAATAAAACTAACATAAGAAATATTCGTGTTCTGCACCTCATCTCATTTTAATATCATTAAATATTCCTCATACATGATCTTAATATCACTGTCGATCGCTCTCTGTCTTATTCACACTAACTATAATGTTTATGCAAGTTTGGGTTTAAATTTGGCCAGTGTTAAGGCAATGTTTTAACACCATTTCCCAATACATACATACTTCTATAAAACTTTTCGCGGGTGTACTACATCAGATAAGAAGAAATTCACCTATGTCGTTATAGGGCCTATTGGGCGTTCCTATTTATACCGGGAAATGTTTGAGGAAAATATCTTATAAAGTACATAATTTTAACCTTGAATTCGCTAATTCTGAGGAGGCTTATTGTTCTCCTCTCGCTATAGTCACCCCTCAAAAACTTTGTGGTTCTATCCATCGTTTCTTAACTCAAAGTGGCGAACACAGAGCGAAAAAGAAATTACACGCCTGATACCAAATTGACACCAAAGTGTTTATAATTTTTCAATAACATCCGTTGTCAAAGTATATACATACGTACGACAACACTATGTAATGTTGACAATATTGCAACAATTCGTTGTCGAAATCTAAATTTTATACACATCCGTTGTCTAAGTGAGCTTACCACGTTTGTTAACATTTAGACAATGGATGTGTATAAAATAACGTGCGTTGTCAACATGACATAGTGTTGTCGTACGCATGTACATATATACTTTGACAACGGATGTTATTGAAAAAAAAACACTTTGGTGTCAATTTGGTACCAGGCGTCTATATTTCTTTTTTCCTCTGTGTATAGCCCTAATGGTTTTTGCGTTTTTAATACAGATCCACAGGCCCTAGTTTTGATCCATCCGGGTAGCAACATATTGCTACTGCTATTCTCTAATGCTTCTCTTGATCACGATATTCTATCTGAGATTCGTGCCTCAAAGTTTTCGGCAAGTTGTCTGTCTTTTTAATGCTATCCTATGCTTGTGTACAGCCATCCAATGCGTCCTGTATACATGGATGACGTGTTCTATAACCGCCTTTAGTCAATACACCTAAAGATAAGGAGTTTGGCTGTGTTTCAATTGGGGGAATATACAGATTCTTGGTAAGCTTAATTAACTCTCATTTAATTAAGAGCGAATCCTAGATATAAAGAGAGCTCTTTGCCTTTCTCGGTTATATAGAGATTTTCTATAAATTCAAACTTTTCTGAATATGATTTTGAATAAACTTCTTCTTTTTTGGGAAATTTTGAAAAAATTTCGATAAATTTCTTGATTCATAATGCGTAGTTATTTTTTTAACATTAAGATATATTGACAGTTCTTAACTTAAAGAATAACTACTGGTTAAATGATAAGTGGGGGTGGTGCAAATGGGGGTAATATAATAAATACTTTATTAGTCATCAGCAGAGAGTTGCAAATGAGATCTTCGACTGGTCCTGTTTGTTTACATGTCCATGTGTGAGCTTGGGTATCCCAGCAGTTCAGTCGGACAGTCTCGAACTACCCATTTACCACTTAGGGTTATACCTACTACTCAAGTGACTAGCTATTTTAATATGTGCTTGTCATACGAGGAAGTCAATCGTCACCCCATAGATAATGAAGAGACAGACAAAAAGCTTAAGTTTGATTTTAAGTGTCCACTCTCTCTCTCCCTCTCTCGCTTACAAAGGGGGCTCTAAAGTGGTGATTATGTTCGCCCTCGAGTACATCCGTGACGAAAGATGAATTAGAGCTAACTTTTTGTCAAACTGCAAGGATGTGTGAAAGCTAGCACTCTTTGAAACGGTGTAATTGAAACTCTTATGTTTGTATTCATTTGCAAAATAGTTTCTCGTTGTTTATGAAATTTTTTTGCCGGTTCGTTTCAGTTGTGGTCGCCTTTATTTTACAATTTGACTGTTTTTTGTTTTTTTTTTTTTATTTTTATTTTTAGTTGCTAAAATTTTTACCTTCTTAATTTTGCTTTTATTGTTCCATTTTTGTTTGTAAATTTAACTTTTTGTTAAATTAATAATTTTTTAACACGCGATGTATGTTTTTGATCCTAAATTTTATTGTTATTGTTTATGTTAATAGCATTAAGTCTCCAAATTCATATAGACAATGTAAATTTCGTGGCTCTATGCAGTTGTATGTATTTCTAGTTATGATTTTGTGTCTCTTTTATCAACATTTGCAACACAGTGTTGGTATTGCCAGATTTGGATAAATATTTTACATGTTTGGTAAAAATGTATTTAATACAATATTCCGAATATTTCCTAAAATGTGGACGAACTTTAGCTGAAGTTCTTCTTGAGAATCAATGTTAATTTTTATTCTTATTTAAATTCATAAAATATTTATATGATATGAAAGTTGTTTTCATATGTGTAAAATTTCTGAAATCTGGCAATTCTAAATTTGGTATTTAAAATTACAATCGTTATACTGTCTACTGGATTTACGTTTAAATAAAACATTAATTAAAAGTGAAGAGTGTTACACAAGTGTTATTTCGCTAAACAAATAATAAAAAAATATTAATACTCCTCCTGCACTCCAAAACTAACAAGATTTTAAAATTTTTCACTTAAGCAATTATTAAAGTTATTCACGACAGAAAATTGCATATTTGACTTGCATTAACTAATGACCTTTTTTCATATGTGTATATTTTTTTTTTATAAATTAATTAAAGCAAAAGGATTGTATTATTTTTTATGTTTTTATCTTAAGTAAGATAAATTTACCTAAAGACCTGAATACCCTTATTAATTTACTATTTCGTTGCTCATAATTTTGATTGCAATCATTCAAACTAGATAAAAGAAAAATGCCATAAAATGTTGAATATGAAGTATTATGGTTGGTAAATTTTTATTATATTATAAAAATTATACAAATTAACGACCACAAAAATTAGTTTTAAGAAATTAAATTTTTATATTTATATTTAATTAAAAGAATTCATTTGTGTTAATTGCAGTTTAATTTCCTTGTATACTTCTATGTTAAAAGTTTTGACTAAACTCCCCTATATGGGGTTCGTTCTAAAATAGTTGCCATTTGTAGGAGAAATATAGCAAAAAACCTAACCTAACATAACCTAAGGGCTTAGCCTCATACATTTTTGGAAAAGGATTTACGTCTGCATTAAAGTTATTTATGCAGAATCTCATCGTGATACTAGTGTTTGTAATTGAATTCTTGAACTTTAAGTAATTTTCAGTAGAGAGGTTTGTATGGGAACTAAGGTCAACTGAGGCCCGAACATAGTTTAGACTTACTATCTTAAACTACATTGTGCTGATTTTTGTATAGATGCTAGAGCATTTAACATAATTATGATCTCAAGACCACTATTCGGGGGGTACGATTGTATGGGGGCTAGATGAAATAATGGACCGATTTCAACAAGTTTAAATAGGCCAAGAGTAAAGTATGTGCCAAATTTCATCTAATTATCTTTAAAATTGCGACCTGTAGCGAGCACACTAGGTTTACATGGACACACAGATGGACGGATATATCTAAATCGATTTAGAAAGTGGTTCTTCGATTCGAAATTCTACAAAATTTACTCAGTATTCGGTATTTTTTTTTTTTTTTTTTTTTTTTTTTTTTGAAAATTCAAACATTTAATAAATAAGTTTAAAGAACAATAGTTACATTATTAGTTACTCAAGTAATCGAATATCTTTAATCGTATACCGACTAAAAGTTTTATAACTAGTTACATATTTATATGTATAAAACAAAAAAATATCTACATAAGTATGTATATAATCACTTATTTTATTATTTATTATTATTGTTTTGTTTTTCATCATAAATTAATTAAATTGACTTACCTAAGCTATTTGTTGCAGACAACAATAACGTTGAAGACAACGGCGATGATGATGATGACGATGATGTTGTAGCAGCCGTCGTTATTGTTGCTGTTGTATTAACAGGTGTCAAAGATGTCATTGATAAGTTACCAACACTAGTTTTAATGTCAGCTTCCAGTAGATCAACAGCAGTAACAGCATTTGCTGTAATTTGTGATTTTGTTGTTGCTGTAACAATTGAAGCCAAAGTTGATGTTAAGGTGGTCTGTGATTTTAGCAATTTGTTATTGCTTTGTTTATAGTGTGGTTGTTGTTGTTGTTTTTGGTTAGCGTGTGCAGTCTCATTATGTTGTCGCTCTAATGAAGCCATATTACCATCATCATTATGATGACGCTGTTGCAGATGATGATGGCGATGATTCAGACCAACTGTATTAACAACAAACGTCTCCAATGGCGACAGTGTTGTGGTGGTGCAGTTTGTTAAGGCCGCTGTTGCTGGTGTGTGTACAGGCAATGTATTTTTGTTGCATGTTTCCGATTTTAGCATACCCGAACTAACTGCACCAGTGGCAACTAGAGGTGAATGTGTTTCCATATTGGTATTTGTTGTTGTTTCCATATTGGTGGCTTGTATTAAATCTCTTAGAATCTGTTGCTCATGTTGATAGTGTTGATGCTGCGGCAACATGTTGCCATAAAATTCTTGATATATTTGTTGAAATTGTTGTTGTTGTTGGGGAGTTACCCCCACCAATAAATGTTGTAAATTATTGGCATGAAATATGGGTGATGCAGCCAGTGGCATGGTGCTGGCTGTCGGGGCATTGTTTAAATTTAAACCGAAAATATTATTTAAATGTTGCAAAGGAGATGTTGTCATTATATTTTGTTGCATTAAATGTTGCTGCATTTGTAGTAAATGTTGCTGTTGTTGTTGTTGTTGCTGCTGCTGTTGGTGTTGTTGTATTAGATGATGGTGCTCTTGTTCCTGTTGCGTGTACAAATTGGCTGCCTCGTTTGTGTTGGCTGTTTCGTTATTGATTTTATAATTTGTTGTCGTTGTAGAAGGTGTTGTCATTTTTATGGTTTTAAATGTGTATTTACCTTCTTGTAGTTTTTGCTTATTATGATTACTTTGGATACGATCGATTATATACGAATTATTATGTTCAAGCAGCATAACGCTCTTAATTGAATTTTTATTATAATCATTGATGTTTTTAGGATATTGCAGGAGTAGCAGTGGGGACATAATCGTTTATTTAATGTATGTATATCTGCATTGATTTCAGAGTAGTATTTCTGAATATACAGTAAGACATATTTACCTGTAATATATGGTAAGAAAAACAACTGAATTAATTAATATCCTTAATTATAAACAATTTATTAATCATTTAACATTTTAAAAAAATGTGTACGTTTTTCAAACACCTTAATGTAGCACCCTGTATAAACGTGTATTTCATCGTTATTTAATCGTTTGAATATTGATTAAGTTGTTAAAGACTTTTAGTACATTTTAATAAACCGTAATTTTAAGTGATAAAGGTTTTGTTTTTATGATACTCATATTACGAAATCACTACAATTGTACATTGTTCACAATATGAATCACAAAATAAAACCACACTTTTTAGATATTGTTAAAAAAAGCTAATCTTTTAACAATATTTCAATTTTTTACTCGACACAAGAAAAATACATGAAAAAATAAGCGCAGATAAACGTAAGGTGAAACAATTTGAAATCAAAACAAAATTGTCTTAATTAAAACTGAAAATACATATTGAACAAATTAGAAACAGCTACTGTATGTTTTTTTAGTTAGGCCAAAATTAATTTAATTTCTTGTTTGGAAATAAAGTTATTTCTAAAAATCCCCTCCTCCAATTAAAGTGTGAATGGTTAACTAATATATTTTTTCAAACAAAAAAATAATGAGGTTAAACATCTTCTGCTTTATAAAGAAATCATTTTCTTATATTAGAAAAAAAAACTATAAGTTAGATGGTATCAGCTTTTCACCATGGCCCATGGAATTATTGTTTGCTTAATATTTCGAAGGTTTTAATAATTTGTTTAAAATATTCTTGTTTATTTATCATTAGAATGATAAGACTCTGTTTTAAAGGTATGAACAGACAACATGTTTAAATTTTAAATGACACAATTGTGGCATGGAAATTGTGACTTAATTCTTTTGTCTCTTATTGTTTTCGTTGGTATCAATTACGATAAAAAGGTATTTGGTGTTATTGTCAACGAAGTTTATTAATTATTTAAAGACAAAAGACTTTAATTAATCTTGTGCTGACTTGTCAGACGATTAAAATTGACAAGAAATGGAAAAAGTGTACAAATTTTAAAAGAAATTGACAATATTAATTAAAAGTCAAGTGTTGGTATATTTATAGAAGTGATGAAATTTGAATAATTAAAAATAAAAATAAAAAACTGTATTGAGACCCCTATGTTGGCATAATTGAATAAAGGTACCATTTGGGACATTAGAAATGGCAACAAACAGAAAATACTACATGTTCGATTTACTGAAAAGTGTCACACTAATAATACTAAATTTTTCTTTCATAGAGTTATTTGTGCCCAATCGTTATACTAGGTTTATAAGTGAATTATAGAAATTAATTTCTGAAGATGTAATTTTCTAAAAGAAGTTTGTATAAAACATACTTTTGTAGAGATACTGATATAAATGAACTTCTTAGAACTATTCGGGTGACCGGTTTTATGGCCATAGGTGAAATAATGGACTACTTTCGATCAAAATCAACCGAGTTCATCCTCGGGCCTAAAGTGATACCAAATATCTTCGAATTATCATTACAATGTTTACATGGACAAAGGACGAACATCTTTAGGACTCAGAAAGAAATTATGAGTCAATTTTTAAACTTTAAGGTGGGTGTATACGACCAATGTTTGTCTTTGTTACAAACATCACTACAAACCCATAATATCTTCCGCACTATAGTGGTGTAGGGTATTAAAAGCTGTAATTCCCAAGTCCTTATAAAACATTTGACATTAGAGAAATCGTTAAATTTCAAATCATTCTCAAAGTTCCGTACTTGACGAATCATACTTTTCTTAATAATGGCAACTTAATGAGGAGTTAGGATTTTAATTTTTAAACATTGTATTCGCAAAAATGTTTCTTATTTCATTTATCTAGGTAGTTTAGACAAAATAAACTATACTTTGTAGTTTTAAACACGCAATTGAAATAACATAAAAAATAAGCTAAAAAAAACATATTTATAATAAAAAAGTGTTTAAATATAAATGTTGCTCAGTCATTTCATATTAATGTCCATTGACCATTTAAGCTGCCTCAAACAAACGAACGAATGAAAAAAAATTGGTAATAAAGAAAAATGTTTTCACAAACTCATGCTGGCCAATAGATTTCTACACATTTAAACACATATTAAAAAAGGTGGGCAATAAACGGATAATTGTTAATCGTATTTAAATTGTTGATTTGACTCTTTTTTCTCCCCCCGTAAGATGGAAACAAAAATTAATGAATAGGAAAAAAATGTGTTAATTAATAATAAAAATTATTTACAGAAGAAGTACATAGAAACAATTTGTATATTTTGTCGTAAGATGATTTAACAGAATTTAAATTGAAAAAAACTAACGTTTCTTTCAGAAATTTCATTTCTGTCAGTGTCTTAAAATTGCATTTTCTTTGTCACCATTTACAAAATTAGAGCATTTTTAAAACGGTATATAATTTTTAAAAATTATTGTTTTGTTATGCTGCGCTTTTTACCACAATTATAGAAAATAAAAGAAATTTTAAATACAGTTTAATGCTCTACATTTCTAACTTTCTTAATATTTATTTATTAATTACTTATAATCTTCTAATAATATTCTCAGCACTTACATAACCACATACTTTTCAATGAGTAATACATACTGTCTGCATTCATTTTAAGTACTCTTATAACGACTTACAGATACAGCGAACTAACGAACAAGAAGTCCATGTTCGTATTCTGTGTGTTAATTTTTTGTTTGTTTTTAAAACAAAACAACTTTTTAAGTTCTTATTTAAGTAGTTATTTGTAAGCGAGCATGGTAAGTACCAGCCTCCAATGTCATCACCGTGTTAAAATAATGAGTTAAAATGCTAATGATTAAGTAGTGAAAAGCGGCTTTTTAGCTTTTCAACACATTACTTTTCAATATAAGATTTTGCTAGGTTCATTTTCGACAAAAAAAGTCTAACTCAACAAGTAAGAATTCTGAATCACATTGGGGTATACTAATAGGCTCAGAATCATTTTCCTAGTTTATTAAGCTATGTCCGTCCTTCCAACCGTCTTTCTTTAATTTTTTTTTTTAAATATAAATAAAATTCTCAAAAATCCTACTATTGACCATCTTTTTGAAAATTTAACAAACATCTTGTATTAGATGTCAAATATTATATTAGCACTCTTTTGATATATACATATCTTATCTATAGAATATACCGCTATATAAACCTTATACGAAATCGCAAACAATTACTAATTTATTGATTTACGAATACTTGAGCTATAATTACAATTTCCTTTTAATTCCAAGAATTTTCAATAATTAATTTGATTATATTAAATTTACTCAACTACGTAGTACATTTTAAATAAAATGTGTCATTTTAGTAGTACTTTTTCCGTTTGTCAATGGGACATTATCGTAACGATTTACAACAAGTCAATAAACTACACTATTTCCAATTCAATTTCAGGGCTTTATAATTTTATTTTAGGAATTTCCAATTGAATTTAAAAACTTTCTTAATCTATTTCAGAAATGTATTATTTAATTTAATTTACGAATTTCTTAAACGAAATTGGAATATTTTGAAATACAATTGGAAATAGTGTAGTAAACTTGTTCATACAAGTATCAAAGAGTTTTCAATTTAAATAACAAGTTATTGGTTAAGGTCCCCCAAAAATAGACTATACGAGATCATTCTTTTGAGTTGCTATAAAATAAAATAACAATGATAACTCTATGTTTTTGCTAAATGTCCAAATCTTCATTTCCTATTCTCTAAATCTGACATCTACGTATAACGACATTTCTTAGAAAACTATTATGAAAAGTGTTCATTAGATAGGATTTGTTGCTAGTATAAATTTTTAGAAATCATTCGTAAAATATTATATCATTTTTGATCAGATTTATCGAAAGGAAAAATATAATGTATAGATGTTCCAATCGCTACATTTACATTGCATTGTTTGTTAACCCTGAACCGCAAAGTATTTAGGGTACAAAATAGGCATACTAATGGAACCTCTATATAATACTTATTTTACAACAGGTAGATATCATTAAACAAAATATTGATAATTTTATTACTCTTACAGTTGTTTTTTTATAATATACAAATATAAATTTTCTTTAAATAATCATAATTTTATGTAAATATTGATAATTTGTATAAATAAAAAAATAGTCATTTAAAGCGCAAGATAAACAATGATTCGTAACTGCGTACACAAATCGAACAAATTTTATTATATTTTTTCTTATTCTTTATTATTTTTATAATTCCACCTAAAAGAAACTCAAATCAATAAAATAAAAATAAAAATTGTTAATAAATAATAAACATATTGAAATGTAAAAAAGGCAAAAGAAATGAGGGCAAATATCAGTTAAATTCAACAACAACAACAAAAAATCAAGAATAAATACAAACAAAATTAAATATACAATATTTATTTACAATAATTTCCATTTAAATTGAACGTGATCAGGTTGATACCGAACGTTATATTTATTTCTTGATTTTTTACAATTACAATGACAAATTATTTATATTTAAACACAAATTGTAGATATAAGAAAAATAAACAAATAAATATTAAATATTATTTTTGTAGAACATCCCTGATAAGATTGCAGCAGGTTGTTGGGGTTGGGAATGAATGAATTATTTTTTTCAATAATTTAAATTATTGGTTATTTTCCTTTGACAAGGTTTTTCTTGAGTTTAAGATTAGTGTAAATGTTACATGTTGAAAAACACGTTGTAATTTTTAACTGCGTGATTATTTTTTATCGATTAACCTGTATTTAATTTCAGGCAAATTACTTTACATACCTATAACGAAAATCTTTAAAATGTAAGAATAGACATTTTTAATATTTTTTTAGATTTATTTCATTAAATAAAAAAATGCTATTGATACGAGTAATTTTATGAAACAAAAAACGTTTTGTGCATAGAGATCATCCTATTTTAAAAATATTTATTTACACCATTCACTTTTGATTGAACTATTAAATACAA